ACGATTGCCGACAATTATATTATGTTTCAATAAAATAGTATTGACATTTTTGTGCGAATGCCAAGTAGCGCGGATCGGTGGGTCACAGAATTCGTTAACTAAGCCGATTTTGGAGCCTCAACCCACGGTCTAAAAATAGCATCAGTGTGAAATGGGTATAAGTCTAACTATATTTCAGTGGCACTTTAGATTCGACTTCGGCAAGTTTGACTGTACCTTTGTACCATTTTTTGGAAGCCTGCTAAAATTGTTTTCTCTAAGCCAAAGACTATCATATTTATAGAAAAAGAACACCCATTGAAATAATGGCTTGATGGGTGACATGGTGGAACTTCAAAATTTATGTGGCTGATGGAACAAAAAAGGACATCAACTTCCCGAAAAAGTGGACTTGTGCAAAAAGCTATCTGTTCTCTAGTGAGATTTATTCCAAAATGTTATCAAAATCAACAATTGGTACTGTATAGTACATACACAATTATGAAGTATTATTGAAGTATGGAATTATTATTATTATTATTAATTATTCCAAAAATAATATTTACAAAAAAAGATCTTATCAAAGTTATGACAGCTGCAATGTGACAAACGGGACAAATTTTGTCATCATTCTCAACATGTTTCAAAAACAGATTTTAAAATGTTTTCAGTTGTAAAATAACAGTGAGCAAATACCTAAAAAGCATGTACTTGAACATCATTTGATTTGACTTTTATAATAGTAGGCACTACTGCCACAAAACTCGTAAAAAAATGCAGCTTGTTCCATTAGGAATTAGAATTTTGTTTATACACACTCCTATGTAGCATGAAAAGACATTTGGTTTGATAAATTTCTCTTCTATTCATACCAAATGCCACCACTCTTGCTAGATTTCAGCCCTACTACCATCTTCTGTAATACAATAGTACTTGGAACTTGAAGAATCATATTATTTGGAATTTGAAGAATCATATACAGTTGTATCACTGTCCTACAGTAGATCATTTTAAACCATGTCCCATGTGATGAGGCTGCATGCACTTTAAAACTGGGTGTTGTTTGTATGGCTGATTTGGTATTCCTCCTTGAATTTAAATAGGCCTGGCAGGATTGCTGTCACTTTGAGCTGCTGCAAGTAAAAGCTATATTTCACTTCATAATCCCAAAATACTTGGTATTTTCATCAAGCTGGACTCGATCTAATGAAAGTGCAAATTCATTTTGTTTTGTGTAGCATGTATACTATATGTTTGGACCTACATTTTTGGCAATTAACATCAGCTAAACTCCTTGAAAATATTGATATTAAGATCTCTGGTCAAGTTTCATGGAATACATCACTTACGAGACCTATCCCATTAAAACATCTTTTATTAATACGGTATGTATACCTCATACATAGATTCTAGGCATCTGATTGGTTAAGAAAATGAAGGAGTACTAGCCTAGTACTTCTTGATAAAGCCAATAGCAAAAGCATCAAAAGACAAATTAAATATGTCTTATTAATAATATTCGACAAATATATTGCAAGACGATGGGTGCTGTTGAAATTGAGGAATTAAGCAAAGAAGAGCTATCTAGACACACTCTTTGATCGCCTAGGCCTAGCTAGTCGAGTAGTAGTAGTAGGCCTAGTATGCCTCTTATAACAGGCTAGAAAGTAAGTACATTTTGGGCCTCGTAGAATCTATGTATGAGGTATATAAAACAAATATTTACTGCTCTATATTCGGGGAACAGTGAAATTTATTGCCCCTCGGTGATGTGGAGACAGTAGCCTATATTCCCTCAGGCCTTCGGTATTCGGGAAGATAGGCTACAGTCTCCAGATCATCCGGGGCAATGCATTTCACCATTGCCCTCATGAGCAGTCAATATTTGTATACTATTCCTCTCAGAAATACAATTCCCCTGAAAAATAGTACTTTTTTGCCCTGTTGCATGATTTGCAAACTCTAGGCCCACTTAACTGCGACTTTTACGACAAAAGAGATTGGCGCTTGACCTAGCCATGGATCAGCGAGTAGGGGATAATCAACCATGGAGGCTAGGCCTTGTCAGTTCGAGCTCCTGGGTGAAGGCCTAGTTTAGGCCTAGCATTACTTCCTGATGAAGCCGATAGCAAAAGAACCAAAAGCAGCTGCTGTCAATGTATTCTCTGATCCTGTTGATGCTGCTAGTTTAATCTGATTGAAAAACAGTAAGAGAAATTTTTATCCGACAAGAGAAATCTGTAACATGCGCACCGTATTACCCCTGTCTCTTATACACATCTAGATGTGTATAAGAGACAGATACTGTACACTGGAATAGACATTCACCTAGTAAGCAT